ACCCTTTCAGAAAGCCCTTCCTGTGGACTTAAACCTGGGGAGTACCGCCAGGACGGCCGACGCGCCCCTGACACGGCCGCTGTCTTTCTCAGAATCTGGCGGCTCAGTTTCAGTGAACCTTTTCTTCCATCATCTGTTCGCCCTCGATCAGGTCCACTGGGTCCGTCATGAGGGGCAATTTCAACTGTTTTCAGATTTCCCAGGGACAGTGATATGTGCCTCTCTCTCTCTCTCTCTCTCTCTCTCTTTCACACACACACACAGTTTTATAAAATGCGTTTCACTCGGCTGAAATAAAAACTTAATTTTTTTTAAACTTTTAAGTGAATTTCTGAAAGGGGGCTCACCACGGTCTGGTGAAAAATGAAGACTCCCATTTGTACCATTATTACAGACGCCCAGACATGGCAGTTGATTTCCTGATCAGGCACTTGGATTTCCGACGACATTATGTGGATGTTGGGTGCGGTACCTGGACATTGGCTGCGGTACCTGGACGCTGGATGCGGTACCCGGACGTCGGGCTCAGTACCTGGGAGTCGGGTGTGGTACCCGGACGTCAGGGGGCGGTACAGGTACGTCAGGCGCGGTACCCGGACGTCGGGGGCAGTACAGGGACGTTGGGCGCGGCATGCGGATGTCTGACGGCGAGGCAGCGGCAAATGGATTAGCAGGGGCTCCTGATTCAGGCCTGCAGTTTGACTCTTATAGGGGCCGGTATTTCCCGGGCTTCACCAGGCCTGGGAGCAGCCACTCTGAAGAAGGGGTGTCTCCTGTGCGGGAAGACAGCTCGGGGAAGCCCTGAGCCTGGACCTTTGATGCTAGTTAAAAGCAGATCGTCCCGAAAGAAATGGCCCCCAGTCACGGCTTCTTGCATTTTCTAGTGTCCTCATCTCCAACACAGATGACCTTTGTGCTATTAAGTTTGCAGTAGAATTTTTTTATTTCTTCTGGGCTCCCATCTTAGGTGAACAGAATTCTGGAGTCTTGCGGAGGTGGGCAATCAGGGAGACAGTGCCCTTAGGAGGTGGTGACCTGATTAAAGCCATACAGCCAGCTGGGACAGACGTGGGCCCCTGACCCCTAGGCCAGGCCCCTCTGCTTCTTTCCGGGTCGTGCTGTTCAATCAGACTGACTTCACGGAGCTGTTCCCCTGTCCCTACCGCACTCCCTTTTCCTTTGTTGTTGTTCTCTTATTCCTACCATCTCCTACCGCCTCTTTTCTGCTGTCCATGTTTCCACCTTGGTGCACACCCATCTCCTCAGGCAGCACCAGGGACATCCCACCAGGCGCCCTTGGTGCTGGGTGGAGGGCACGAGCTTGGATTGCGTGTCTGGAGGCTCCCTGATCTGCCAGCCGGGGTGTGCGTCACTGAAAGATGAATGGTCTTCACTCCCAACCCATCTCAAGGAGCAGAGTTGAGGTGCAAGGAGTGAGCCTAAGACGGGAACAAAACAGTTCTGCTGCCAAGACGACCCCGGAGCTATTGTCACTTCAGGTGATGGGCCGGAAGGGGTTACCAGACCCCAGCTGGGCGGACAGAGGCCACTTGGAGCAAACAGCAGGGCCAGAGAGGAAGCTGAACAAACCCTGTGTGGACACTGATCTATTACTTTCTGTTAGGGGAACCGACCTCCTGGCTTTCCAAGTGGAATGGATTTGTTGCAACATGAAAAAAAAAAGTTTAAAAAATTTACACAACTTTGAAAAACATTATCATAGAAATGTTTTTAGGTTTTTGATGAGACTCAGTCCCCTCTGGTGGGAACACCCACCACAGGATGACATCATCACGGCCATCTCATAAGAGCCGGGGGAGGGTAAAGGCCCTGGTCTTACTCAGTGATGCTACTTGGTCCCTTCATCTCAGATGCTCTGAGTACCACATTACTTAGATTATGTCAAAAATAATTTTAAAAGGAAACATGATTTAATCTGCAGCTCCACAGGAGGAAAACAAACAGCTATGGGTAGTGAATCACTCATTAAAAATTAAATAAATCCACCCACAACGGGAAACAGCACAACAGACTGTCGGTGTTGGGTTCACATTGGAAAGAAGCCAAAAATAGGTCCTGGGAATGGTGATGCCTCTGAACTTGATCTTGCTCACATGGTGTGCGTGCGGGATCGCCAGCTTCTCAGCGACACACACTTTCCAGCGTGTCTTTGGCTGAGAACACCCACGAGAAGGGAAGCTGAGCGGCACTGGGGGTTTCCATGTATCTGACAAGATCAAGCCCCCGGCCTCCCCATCAATCACTTCTTTAGGTAAAATACCCCATCACACAGCCCCAGAACCGTTTGCCAGGATGAATCACAGAACAGTAAAGAAAGGACTCTTGTTTCATTAACTAAGGTTTCTGTTTCATGTTGTAAAATTAAAACTCATGATTCCCAGCTTTTACTTCCTGCATGGAAGCAATGTCATAGAAAGAAAAAGATTGCCTTTCAAAAAATGTTTTCTGTGGATAAAACCCTCCTTTACAGGTTCCCACTCCTTTTGCAGGCAGTCAGGGAGCAAATACAAGTAAGTGAGCAGGGAAGAGAAGGCACCAAAGACAGCTGCTTCCTTCTCAAAGCGAAGATTGTAAAACATTTACATCATGATGTACAAATTTCATCCCAGAAACGGGGGCGATGAACATGACTGGCCCCGGACACGCATGATGCCTGGCAGTGGTTACTTGAGGGGCATCTCTGCTGTTCACTCCAAGTCCAGAGAAGCACTGCCATCAATCCCAGGACTTTATGTCTGGAAGGGATCTTTAAAAAATCCTCACCCAGCTCTAAACTTTTTAGACAAAGGTGTGACTCAGGGCATGAAGGGACACGTCTTAAGTCATTCTTTCTAGAACTGAACTCTATTTCTGTCCCATCCTTCTGCTGAGCAAAACTCACAATTAGACTTGCTAAAGAAAGGACTCAAATATCGGCCCTACAGGCATCATTTCCTGAAATCAGAACTAGGACCTACCACCGCGTTTTTAGGACCGCGCACAGTCATGAGCCTGCCGGAGACACCTGATAAACGCTGGGCCCGTGAATGGACCAACGAGGGGCCGCCCTGAAAGGAAATCTGGCAAGTGTGTGGGAAGAGATTAGAAGACTGGATTTGGTCAGCAGATAACACACGGAAATAGTTTGGAACGCTGGCCAACATCAGCTTAAGTGGTCATAAAATGGTTCCAAAACATAATTATCTACCAGAAAACTGTTTCCAGAATCCACAGGATACGTTCTTAGTAACGAGCCCTAGTACTTTTGTAACAGCTAAATCATACTCTTCATAATGGAAAATTTTTATTTATTTTCTTTTCAGCAGGTCTGCACCCCACCTTTGGAGGTGGTAATGAGAGCCAACTGGCTTTCAGGTCTGAGAGGAACCCAGCTCAGGGCTCACGGCAGACCTGTGGGTCCCTTCCCATGGGCATTTCTCCACGCCCACCTGAGCCAGTGTCTCCTCATCTTTAAGGTGGAGATGAGAATGCACACCTAGGCTGCCTCCAAGTATCTGTGAGGCCCAAAGGAGATACAGATTTGAACGTGCTTTGTAAACTGTAAAGTGCTCTACATGCAGGGGGGTTATTATAAACACAATTTAGGTTTTCAGCATAAGGCAGTTACGTTATCTGGCAAAACAGGAAATAGAGCAAGTCCTGTTTCTTGCGAATAATTTCCCCCCATGTGACATTTAAAAAAATTAATTTCTCAGCAGCAACATGATATTTAAAGAAAAAAATTTATATATCACCTGAACACACATCTACACCATCCCTTACAGCAGATCAATCTTGGAAGAATTGTTTGAAATCAGTTAAATTCCATCAACATATTTTTAAAAAGTGGTTAGAATTTCATCAGCCTCCATCATAAAATAACACAGATCCCAGTTCAGTTTTAAGCTTATGTTCATTTCTATTCAAAACAGGGAGAAAAGCAACTCAGAGAATCCATTATGTGACACGTTCTTGTTCAGCAATTCCACGGGGATCTTTCCGTTCCCAACATTTTAAATAGTTTATACCAAACTCTGCATTGTAAAAAGCAGTTTTAAAAAAGTCACTTCAAATTGGCAAACTTTAAACCGAATGCCCCGAATCTCCTGTTGCTGAATGTCTCCATTCACACAGGGATGGGACATCCCCCAGTGTATGGGACTGCAGCTGGCGGCGAGTTTCTGTATCCAGTGGGGACTGGTCCACAGTCCTCCTCTTTGGCAGCAGAACTCTTTCCTGACTCTGCGGCCCAGTGGGTCTGAGAACACTCTCTGTAGGTCACACACCCAGAGGTTTTACGTGTCTTATATTCTTTCCCCAAGTGTGAGTGATGCCACTGGCCAGGCAGTCGGCACGGATCTGCAGCTGATGATGCCATCTGTTCCCACCACGTCAGCCACAGGGATGGGAGAACTCTGGACACGGACCACCAGCCCCGCCTCGTGAACCCAAACACAAGCTCCATGAAAGACCGGCTCACTGCCCAGCCGCCCAGGTACTTCCCGCCGTCCCAGAGCATCATGTTTCACCCAAGTGCCCCTTTACAAGTCTAGCTGCTAAGGGAAATTCAGAGGGCGGTTTTGGTTACAAAACTAGGAAACATCCAGCTTAAAATGGGTGGGACTTTGATGTGTCATCCAGTGAACCCAGGGCCCCAACAATAGCTGGGGACTGTCTTCCCGACAAGCGAGCCGCACTGGGCTTCCTGGCCCTCTGACAACCCACCAGCCGCAGAGCGGACCGCTCCTTGGTGCCATCCCCACGCACTCCTGGCCGGGCCGCGGTGCATTGAAACGGCTTCCTGAAGCCTAAGTCCCAGATTTCCTGCACAGGGCGGGACAAAGCTAACTGAGGGGCTCGCCCGCTTTCATCGAAAGAATGCCTCCTGATCATATTCTTTGACCTAGTTTTTAAAGCCCTGAGGAGCTCTGTGACACACATATAAACCACGACACAAATCCCAAGCAGCAAGAAAGGCTTTCCTCTCAGCTTCCCTTTACCTCTCGTCCCACTGAGGTGACGCCGGGCAGCCGGCCTGGCCTGCGGGAATCCATGTTTTCCTGTCAGCTGGAAAAGAATTTCTAGAAGAAGGATTCCAGCTCTGAACAGGCGCTGCCGGGAGCGCGGCGACGAGACAGGAGTTTATATAGGAGAGCTGTGCTCCCAGTCCCTCTCAGTGGAAACTGTGAGTGTTCAGAAGCCGAGCCTCTGCTCTATGACAAACGATTACCGAGCAGACTCTTTTAGGAAGCACTTCTTGGAAGAATGCGGAAACTTTCCTGGGGGAAGATGGAGATGGAAATGGAAATAAATGAGGAATTAATCTGTTTGTCACCATCAGATCCAAAGGCAGCATTCTTCCAACTTGCTGCCAGCTTCTAATTTCAGATTCCGGGAGAGTAACTGCTTCACTGTGGGAAGAGTAGCACTTTGCTTGAATAGGAAACCTGCAGAATCCAGGGATGCTAAGAAAATCCCAAGAACATGGCAAAGGAAGGAGAGAGAAATCAAGTCTCTCAGAAAGTTCCCAAACTTGCAGACTAAGAGCTGGGTTTTCACTGTGCATCGCGCTTCTCTGTTCTCCCAGCAGATTCAAAAACCAGCGCAGGACGTGTGGCCCCAGCTGCGGTGCCCTGGAAGGTCAGGGCCCTGCTCTTGATGTAAAAACCTGCAGAGTCTTCTTTTCTTTCCCCCTCTCTGCCATGCTGGTGGTGCAAACCAACACCGAGGGAGAAGAGTGGCTTGTAAGAGAAAGCAAACAGGGAACGAAACTGGCAGAGGAGGAAGCAGAGGTCCTGACGGAGGACAGGCTAGCGAGTGAATATTCTAAGTTAACTTTTAAATTAAATTCACTGTTACTTAATATTGGCACTTCCATTTAGTTCTCTGGTATTCCTGTGGTATTTCCACGAACCAACGTGAAACAGTCCAACTGCAGAACCATTTAACTTCACTTACTGGTGGATACCCCTTATAACAGTATAAGACCTCAAAGAGCCTGGAGGGAATATTTAAACCTTAATTACATGTCTTCCATATATTCTTAATTCTGAAATTCTACCTGGTTTTTAAACCCTGTGCAGCTGAGAGCCGCCGAGCCGCAAGCACTCTCCAGTTGGGGAACTCTTCGTCATATTTGATGATCGATACTAGCAAGAGTATTACTTCCCAAATCTATTTTTAAACACAGGAAAAAGAAGGAGAAAACTCTGAGAATGGGTGCCTGTGCTTAAAAAGACTCCTCCTAATCCAGTTTGAGAGAGGAAAAATTGACTCTTCTTTTTTTAAAGTCAGATATGAATATAGAGTGTGTGTTTTGAAGTGAGAAATCGGGCACTGCAGGGCTGAGGGAGGCCTCTGATGTGCAGTCTAGGGGCGGCATTTACACCACCACCCAGCGAAGTGCCTTCTTTAAACTTTCTGTGGTGACGTTAGCAGTAACGGTTTTATGAAACGCTTACTCTGGGTCATCTCACTTAAATGTCACAGTAACCCTAGGAAGAGACGGACAGATGAGAGAAGAGGCAGCTCAGGGGGCTGGGAGTGGGGGGGCGCTCACCCCTGCTCTGGAGCCAGCGTGCCGCATGTTGACAGTGGCCTGGGACAGCCTCCGACCTCAGGGTGCCGACTCTCTCCTGCTCCGCCCACGATGAGCTATTCATTTGGTTCTAACCGACTCAAAAGCAAGTTTCCAACCTCACGAATCAGAAATCAACTCCTTTCTGTTAGCTGACCTCCTGAAGCTCTGGAATGAGCCTCAAATGCTTAGCAAAGGAGTTGCCATAGGCTGAAAGACTGCTGTGATGCCCTACGACTCCAGACACAGGCCGTGCAGAAGGTGGCCACCACGGGGGAGTTCGCGCTTCCCTCACGTCGAAGAGAAAGAGTCTCGAAATCCAAAGCCGTCTTAGTCTAAGGCCTCACAGCTTCCTAAGTCAACTACTTTCCTATTGAAAAGGAAGCCAAGAGTGGGACCAGGTAGAGGACGATGCTGCCCAAAGTCGCTGTGGCTGCCAAGCCCTGCAGCGGATACAGAGGTGAAAGGTCAGCTCCTAGATAGATGCTCAGTTGCCTTTGGATGGGGTCTGAATCTCTGAATCTGTGGCTGGTTTGAGGCAGCGGGAGTGGGAGCTGGGGCAGCCCAGGGCGCAGGCTCACTCACGGCCAGGCAGCAGGTCAGCTCACTGAGAGGCCGGGAAGTCCTTGAGCAGGTGGACGGCGACTGGGTGTGGAGGCGCCGGTGCTGAGCCGAGAGCCGGGGAAGGCAGAAGGCAGAGACTCCCAACACATCATAATCCGTGCCTTGCATTTCAGGAGGAGATGAGTCTGCAGGACCTGCCCTTGGGTACTTCATCCCAGCATGGTCGGCATCCGCTGGGATCACAAGCAGCATTTAATATCCATTCCAACCCATGTGAACGAGCAGTCCCTCTCAGTGAGGATTCTGAGATGATACGAGATTGCAGACTTCCTATAATTACATCTCCATCCCATTAATATTATTCCACGAATGCCCCTTCTCTGCCATCCCACCATGGATCTGCCTGAGGAAGGCATGTGCCGCAGAATCCCAGCACCCGATGATGACGGGATAAAGACGACGGACGGCAGAATGTTTAGCCGGTAGGATGTGGACGGCTTCCTCTCTGTCTGGGTAAGTAGTTGACTACATTCAGCATTTTCGAGATAAGGAGAAACAGTCCATATAACCAGAATGCATTTGATCACACCGGGAATGACCATAAGAATTTATGCCCCCGGTAAAAGGCACACCCCCTAAAAGGGCCAGCTGGCACAAAAGAACCCACCCATTGGCCTTAGAATAATCATGAACAGAGTCGAGGTATTTCAAACAAAGTGATGCATTTGAGAAATACAACTTCCTAGCAGTCCACATCCTGGTTCCCTCGCCAGAGGGGCGCACCCCCCCCCCCGCTCCCAGCAGACCGCGTGCTCCCCGGCCGCAGGCTGCACCCACGCCAGAAGCTCTTGGAGGCCTTCCCGCAGGTTCCTTAGGAGGCTTGACAGCCTTAAGTCGAGTCTAACACAAAAACGGGGATGGTGTTTCTCTTCCTAAGTCCTAGGACATGGAGGCCGGGGAATGTTGCCTCAAAAGGCAAAAATTACGTGATGCCAACAGTTTTTTTTTCCTCACTAAGTGTGCAATCCAGAAAAGCTCCTTTTCAGCAGTTTTCCCCACAGCAGATCCATTTAAGGAGCAATTACCATCAATGCAATTATGTGCCACCGCACTCCCTAATAGTCCCCGAGCGTGCGACTGAGATGAGGCAAGGCCCTTTCAAAAGTCAGGACAAGTCAGTGAGAGGAAAGCATGTGGAGTCTGTGTCCTCAACAACGTGTTTCAGGAGACCGAGCAGCTGAACCTGATTCTAAACGCAAAAAAAAAAGAAGAAGAAGATGTCACAGAAAGCGTGACATGAGCCTGTTCGAGCAAGTTACGGCTTCAAATTCACATACGCAGCACACTGACCACGTGGCCTTGTTCCTCTAGGAGATGATGTCTCTAACAATGAAAGCCCACACAGTTTTTTCGCTAGTTAACTACACATCAGAGGTAATTTTTCAAGAAGGTTTGTACTCACCAAGGGAAAACGAAGGCTATAGTCTGAAAGAGAAAAAGAAAAAAGACAGGGTCACTTTTCCGGGCAACAGGTGTTGCAAGTTTTAGTCACTGCTTTTTCTATAGCACGAGTGGAATGTGCCCATTTTTGCTTCATGGCTTGGGGTCTTCTTGAGGCCTTTTTGTCTGGATAATAACTTCTTTTTGCCTCAACCATCAGCTTTTAAAGGCGTCCTGCCCCAAACGCTCCTCTAGGCTCTGGCTGTGTGTTGATGGTGGAGCCTGGTGGCTGCCCTGGATCTGAGGTGTTGGCCTGTAGCACCCAAGGTGCTCCATCTGTCAGCTGCTGCTCTGTGACCTACAACGTCCCCTCCCTCTGAAGTTGTCCCTCCACCCATTTCCCCAGAGATACCCTCTTAAAACCTCCATAGGACACACCCTCTTCACCCCAGTTTTCCAGCTTAATCATTATCCAGATTGCTCATTCTGCATTAATTTAGCGCTCATGCTTTTTTTTGTTTTTAACAGCTTCAGTGAGATACAATTTATATACCACAAAGTCCACCTGTTTAAAGTATACAATTCAATGGTTTTTCACATAATCACAGACTTCGAGACCTTCCTTATGATTTAATTGTAGGACATTTTCATCATCCCCAAAGAAAGCCCATTTGCTCGTTACTCCCCCAGCCCATCCTGTCCCCACCCAGCGGTCCCTGGCAACCACTAATCTACCTTCTCATATGGATGTGCCTATTCTGGAAATTCCATCTAAACGGGATCCTATAGCACGTGACCGTCAGAGACCAGCTGCTTTCACTTGGTGTGTTTCTGAGGTTCACCCACGCGGTGGCCTGTACCAGCACTCGTGCCTTCCAGTGAGTGGACACTGTTCCGTCATATGCGGAGACCACCTTTGTTTATCCATTCTCCTTGGAGGACTGACATGACCCCCTTGTTCTTGTGAGAGTGGCCAGCAAGGCAGCCTCACGCCAGGGCTCGGAGCTTGCATCTCCTTGTGGCTGGAGACCATGCCCTGTGGCCATCGTGTACCCCTGCTGCTGGATGGTGGACTCATGTTTTGAGCATCACTATTTTTTATATTTATAGCTAATGCAGTATGTGGCATTTTCCACCAAAACAGACTACTTATCTAGGTCATGGCCAGGCTAGATATGTTAAACCAAAAGCTATACTCTACAGAGCACAATTATAACAAGTTTTTGCACTAATGAAAAAGTTGCCTGTGAAGTAGGTTTGAAGCCAAAGCTGAAGAAATGGTTCTAATACTGACAGATCTTAAATCTACTTGGGCAAGTCTACAGCTCACATTATTCTTAATGATGGAAGGCTGAAAGCTTTTCCCCTAATACTGGGACAAAGGCAAGTGTACCCGCTCTCACCACTCACATTTGACACTGTGCTGGAAGCCATAGTCAATGCAATAAGACAAGAAAAATAAATACATAGAAATTGGAAAGAAAAAAATCAGACTTTATGCTCAGATGACATGACTATGAACATAGAAAACTCTACAGAATGTACAAAAAAGCAACAGGGACCGATCTGTCAAGTGGTGTATAAAGACAGAGTTCCCAGAAGACAGAGGAGCCCAATGGAACACAAAGCAGGTGGCGGGAAGGTGAGGGGGGCACTGAGGTGAGGGGGGTCATCAGTGGTTTGGGGGACTGCTTTTTTGTAGAAATAACTTATTACAAGAGTCCACTCCTTCTAATGCCCCAAAAGAATTTGGGAAGATGCTGGAAAGAGTTACTTGTGGTGTTTACCCAGGGCCAGGCAGGGGCAGAAGCCAGAAGTGCAAGGAACCCTTCATGTTTCAGGAGGAATCCCAGAAACTCAACACCGTCTTCCATCACAATACTGAGTCATTTTAATGTAAAACAAAACCCAGTGATGTGCAGAAGCATATCCTGTGCAGAAGCAGGGCTGCCGCCTTGAGTCAAGTCACTCTAAAAACCACAAGGCAAAAAACCAGTCAAGTGCAGAAGCAGCTGGGCACACCGTCAGAGGGCGGCTAAACACACGAGTCAGTGTGATGGACTAAACCCCAAAGGAACCCAATTAATAATTTTGAGTTAAACTTTAAAGTAATTTTTTTTAAACAAAGCAAAAATACATGAAACAGTGGGCACTACAAATAGATCACATACTATACTGGCTTGAGGCTCACAGATGTTAGCATGAAACCACAAGCATCAGTTTCTCTGAAGAACAGAATTAGCAAAAACCAAGCCGCCAGAATAACCTCTAAAGGCAGCCTGTATCCTGTGAACACG